TTCATCACACCATTATGACGTGGATACTGTTACAGTCCCCATAAGGAAACAGGAAACAAGATTAAGTAACTTGCCCGAGATCCCAGAGTGATGGAGCTGGGATATCAGCCTATAAGTCAAGTCAACTTCAGAACTCACTCTTAACCAGTAGGCCAGTCTCTGTTTAAGAGATACTTCGTTGCCATTTGGAAAGGGGTATAGCTGTCTTCCATGTTATTGCTTAGAAACAGACATCTTTCTTTCTCAGTGTGCAGTGAGCATGCAGCCAGACTCAATCTTTCCTCAAGCTATGTGAACACAAACCAGGCCTTCTAATATGCTGTTCCCTTTGTTTACAATGCTGTATCCCTCTTCTTTTCCTGTCTCCTACTTAGACTTTGTCTCCCCTTAAACATCTCTTACTCCAGGTCACCTGCTGCAATCTATATCCCTCACCACTAAACTAGCTAAGTGTTCCCACTGTTTGCTTGCTTCCTCCTCCTCCTCCTCCTCCTCCTCCTCCTCCTCCTCCTCCTTCCTCTTCTTCTTCTCCTTCTTCTTCTCCCTCTTCCTCTTCTTCTTCTTCTTCTTCTTCCTCTTCCTCTTCTTCTTCTTCTCATTATTATTGTTATTATTTTGAGACAGCAGCTCACTCTGTCACCCAGGCTGGAGTGCAGTGGTGTGAAAGACTGCTCACTGCAGTCTTGACTTCTTAGGGTTCAAGCGATTCTCCCAGCTCTCAGCCGCTTGTGTAGCTAGGACTACAGGCCTGTGCCATCTCATCCAGCTAATTGTTTGTATTTTTGCAGATATTGGGGTCTCACTTTGTTGTCCAGGGCTCAAGTGATCCTCTTGCTGCAGCCTCTCAAAGTGCTGGGATTGCGGGTGTGAGCCACTGTGCCAGCTTCACTACTATCTTTTACTGAATTGCCTGCCTACTGGGATGAGGAAAGGTGTAGGATGATAAAGCACCGTGGAGGAAAGCATTCTGGAGATTCCAGAACAGAACTGCTCAGATTCCTTCCTTAGCATCCTGGAGCTAGCGTTTTACACCCTCAACGTCTGTGCCACTGGGCTGCTACTCAGCCAGGACTCTTCCATTTCATCTACAAACTTCTCCCAGAAAGAAGTGAAAGAAGTGAATTTATTCTTCTGGAAATTTCTAAAGCAGTGATTTCTAATCCAAGGTGCACCCACCCTAGGGGTTTGTGTTGGAATACAGGATCCAATGAAGTGCAATGAAATTATATTTACATTCTATTATATGAAATAAATTAAGCTTTTGATATTTGATATATAACCTAGCATGAGCACCTTCACTTGGTCCAAATGCCAGAGGATCGCACGTCACATTCAGTGATGTGTGACACACTTGACAACAGAGTGAGAAACTCACACAGTGGAAATGTGCAGCAATGCTTCTACTTGTATACTTTGGAGTTGGTGACCATGTCTAGCCATTTACTTGGCCTAATGTGTGTTTACAGGTTGTTAGGTATTTTCAACTAAATTAATGCTCACAAAATGAATGTTACAAGATTCTTACAAATAAATTGGAAATTAAAGATAGTACTATTAAAACATAAGTGAATAAGATAACAGGAGCCTTGACATATTAACTAATCACAGTATGAAGCCATCACATTAGGAAGACATGTTCCAGAAAACACAAACCTCCACAATCTCTTTTCAAGAGTCAGGTGATACTCATTTTGTTTTGGTTCTCAACAAAATTTCATAACTGGTGACAATGTTTAGAAACGCTTTGGGGGTTCTTACTTAATAGCAAAACACAAAAAGCCACATGCCCCTTGTTCTCCTTTCTACAATATGATGACAAACTAAAACACATTCCTCAGTCAGCAATGCTATTGGACCATGTATGGCAAATACAGCTGAAGAGCTGAAGAAACAATAGTTCAATTTCACAGTGTAAGAAATCTGCCATGTAATCATATGGAAACATGCCCTAAAGCACAGATGTTTCTAACATGTCTTTTTCCAAAAAGTGAAATACACAAGGAACAACTTTTTCTTTGTCAGCCAAAAAGGGAAAGATAAAACATATACTCAACAGTAGTTTACTTCCTTAATTAAAACAAAAATTTTAGTGCCTAGATCTTAGTTTCTAAATATCATTGCCCCTTAAAAACAAACAAACAAACAAACAAACAAACCTGGGACCCTGGAAGAAATGGCTGATTTTAGGGCTGGCAGGAAAAATGTAAGATGAACGTGGGACATCTTGTGCTAGAAAGTAGTGTTAGAAAAAATAATTAGGGCATACCAAAAGGAAGAAGAGTCACCTTGAAGTGGCTGACACTGGCCAAATCTGGGACATTTCAGCATTAAAATAAATAAGGAGGGTGAACTGGTAGAGTATAGGAGATATTTAGGGTAGTGAAATGCTTCTGTATAATGCTGTAATGGTAGATACATGACATTATGTTGCAGGTAGTTAGACAGGCATGAGAGGGACAGGAGAAGGCTCTTCCCCAACCCACCAGGAATGTCAGGTGATAGTTTGTGGGAATTCACTCAGGGTGGTGGCAAAAATATTAAGAGAAAATTATAGAGAAAGTTATAGAATATAGTCTCAAACCCTTTTGGAAGGCCTAAGGGTTTTGTCTATAGTTCTTGGCTGAAGGCAGCCAGAGTCTCTTTGCAGGAGCCAGAGAGATTAGGGCTCAAATACAAAGGAATGTGAGTAGTTTACCTAGCTAGCTTGTTTATTCATGTGGTCTTAAAATTAAACTTTGAGCCAGATGGCCTTCTTGGGGGGTGGGAGGGGAGCATCGACCAGGGAGATTACCCTCTAATGGTGTTTGCTTTGGGCATCAGAGCCTGGTTTTTAATCTGTCTCTACAAGTATGCTGACTTAAAGCCTGTTATTAAATCTATACTGAATAAATGGGAAGAAGGCAAGCTAGTCAGTGTCATGTAGCTGCAATCTCTCTCTCTGAGTGGCTCACAACCCCCTGCCTACACATTCACTGGAAATTTGTGTCCAAGTGCATTTATTCATCTGTCATGCAGCTGGGGCCTCTGGGACAGACTCCGGCAATGGTTCAACAATCACATTGCCTCTCTAAAAATGATAATTCAGCATCCAGCGCCGAATTATCTCCTGATGGATCACAGCTATTACATTAAAGTGTTAATTGAATGCAGGCGCCAGGGAGAAGCAAAAGGGGCTTCCAATAAAACCTTCAGTATTGGGTGAGTGAGCCTGGGCATGCACATTGAGACAAAATGACAAAATATGACCTTCTGGGGGCACTCGGTTGGAAAAGGGAAGAAAGTCTCAGATGGGCATGTGTACAACTTCCTAAACTCATGCACATGCTCACTTCCCACGCATAAGGAGGGCACTGTGCATGCAGGCAGCCCACCCTAAGGGAAGAATCATGGGAAAGGGGTTCAAGACCCCAGAAGTGGGCCAGACTATTAGTCCTAGAATCACAGTTAAATGCTGCACTTGTCCTTCAAGTCACCCTTTTGGGTCTCTTCCAAGTGTACTTTCCTTTCTTTCCTTTTAAAATAAACTCCACTCCTGCTCTGAAACTTGCCTCAGTCTCTTTTTCTGCCTTATGCCCCTCAGTCGAATTCACTATGCAGGTAACTGAGATGCCTTCCAGTTGGCTTGATTTTTTTTTTTTAAATCCCCAAATCAAAAAAATGTCCATGACATGAAAGATAATGGCCAGGGAACTACAGCTAGTGCTCGACTTACGACCACGATTGGTTCCGACAGACCGGTCGTAATACGATTTGGTCGTAAGTTGAGTAGGCTATATGCACACGGAGATGGTAGTGCTGCCGGAAGCTGGTCCGCACTGTCATACGCCCAGCTGGGCAACGTTTGCGCTGCCAGACACGGAGCAGTCGTGGCTAGCAATTGTGGTCGTAAAATCTAATGGTCGTAAGTCGCATAGGTCGTAAGTCGATCAATACCTGTACTCTGGATAAAGAAAGCTAAAGAAGTTCAGGAAAACAAGTAAATAATATACATCTATGATTTTGCATGTGTATTTGAAGAGGGAGTGCAGATGTGGCATAATATTAACGATTTGCTGAATTTGAGCAAAGTACAGTATGTGGGAATTCTCTTACTATTTTTGCAACTTGTCAATTTGAAAATTCTTTCCAAGCAAAAAGTAAAAAGGGGGCTGGGTGCAGTGGCTCACACCTGTAATCCCAGCACCTTGGGAGGCTGAGGTGGGCAGATTACTTGAGGACAGGAGTTCAAGACCAGCCTGGCCAACATGGCAAAACCCAGTCTCTACTAAAAATACAAAACAGGCAGACATGGTGGCACACACCTGTAGTCAGAGCTACTTGGGAGGCTGAGGCAGGAGAATCGCTTGAACCCAGGAGGCAGAAATTGCAGAGAGCCGAGATCATGCCATTGCACTCCAGCCTGGGCAACAGAGCGAGACTCTCCCCCAACAAAAAAAAGTAAAAAAGAACATGCTGCATGGAAAAACTGCAAGTGCAACACCTCTTCTAGACCGTTTTGACAGAATAAAGGAGAGAAAGGAGGTCCTGGGTTAAGGTTATAGAGCTAGCACCACAGAGGATAATTCATGTCTTATCCATAAACAAATTATTACAGCAAAGAAGTTGAAACTAAAGTACCTAAAGTACTTACCACAGGGTGTCACAGCTGTGGCAAATTTTATTAGCATATCCCAATTTTATTAAAATACAATTCAATGTTTATAAACATTTATTAAGATAGGGAAGACTATGAAAATCTTTCTGCCATGCAAATTACTGTCAATTTAAAAATAAATTATGCATTTTTGTGAAGATACTTACTGACCTTTTTTTTCTTTAACAAGCAGCTCAAACAAGCATGTTTATGTAGCAGATATTGAAAAACAAAACCACTGAATCCTTTAAAATTACTTTTAATATGAAAAGGGAAAGTCAAAAGAAACTTTGCATTTTTAAACATATTTAGAAATATATTCATTTGGGTGTAATTTTTTATTGCTGAAACAACTTTGTGCATCTACAAAAACTCTAGCTGATCACTAAAGAAAGTCGGGGGGCAGTTACTTCGGTGGCTGAGGTGGGAGGATCACTTGAGCCTGGGAGATTGTGGCTGCAGAGATTTATGATCACACCACTGCACTCCAGCCTGGGTAACACAGCAAGAGGAGATGGGAAAGAATGGAGATGGGAGGGGGAAGAGGGGAAAGGAGAGAGAGAGAGAAAGAAAGAAAAAAAGGAAAAGAAAAGGAGGAGAGGAAATTGCCAATGTGTTTAAAAATCTAATGAAACGTTTTAGTCATTTGAGTTGACTGTACTAAATATAGAAATACATCCTATTTCAACCAGTTTGCAAGAACTTTTGGAAAGCAGGACATGGACATTTTAATTTAAGCATGTAGAGTCGTTGGAAAGGCTTTTAAAATAAGTATGATTTATTATCACAACCAGGAATCTGCCTCTTCCCTTTGGATCCACGTATCTTCATGGGTGTTTTTCCACCTTTGATGTTGTTAAAACTAAGTACTGACACACTCAGACTCAAACCCCCAAATCGCTGAATCATAGTGGTAATTCAAGGTTTTTAAAACAATTCCTAACAACTGGATAGATTTCCTAAAAATCATTATTCACTGAAGCTGGGCGAATTTCATGATACGCAAATTATACTTCTAAGATGTATTCCCCATGGGCTTGGTGGCTCACACCTTCAATCCCAGCACTTTGGGAGGTCGAGGCGGGCAGATCACTTGAGGTACGGAGTTCGAGACCAGCCTGGGTAACATAGGAGAAATCTCATGTCTACTAAAAACACAAAAATCAGCCAGGCGTAGTAGCGCACGCCTGTAATCTCAGCTACTCAGCAGGCTGAGGCAGGAGAATCCCTTGAACCCGGGAGGAAGAGGTTGCAGTGAGCCGCGCCACTTAACTCCAACCTGGGCGACAGAGTGAGACTTTGACCCAAAAAAAACCCAACCAACCAACCATATTCTATTGCATTGTCCTTTACAAATATTCATTTAATTATATAATTGCTAATTAATAGCTTAGTTGTTATAACAACCAAGTATTTGATTCCTTACACTATCTCATCATTTAAGTTTTATTTCGCATATTTTCATAATGCACGTTATCTATTATTGAGGAATTTAATTAAATAACCATTCGAACGGTGGGCTCGAATTGTTTACTAATGAAGCTCGGAGATGACACCACTGCACTCCAGCCTGGGTAACAGACCAAGAGGAGAGAGACGAAAAGAAAGAGGGGAGGAGGCTCTCCGGCCACTGGAAGGAAAAGAGGGCAAAACAGCCTAGCGACGGCTGTCTGGAGCCCCTCGGCCCAGGGCCGTGGCGGTTCTCTCGGACCATCGCGCCCCTCAGCCAGGTCGCCCCGAAAACGAGCGCTCCACGGCCTCTGTCCCGCTCTCTCTCTGCACACAGGAAATGTCGGGTCCTCAACCACTTCCACCTCCCAGCCTCATCAGGTTCCCAGGCCGCCGGGGATTCCCAACGCCACCTTCCAAGGCTCTAGGGTCAGCCGAGCGTCCAAGGGCAAGGACGAACAGCGCCGGGCAGCGATCGGGACCACACCCCCGCCCCCCAGCTGCGGACAAGGTGAAGAGACGCGGGAACTCCAAGCTCGACGGGTCTCCGCAGGCGCCTGCCCCGTTCCTGTGACGGTCACGGCCTCCCGTGAGGCGGGGTTTTCCCGCAAAGCGAGCATAAACTCCGCCAGAAGCGCCACTAGCCGGAAACAGTAATGAAGGAGAGAAAGCAAAGGGCCTCCCATTTCCAAGGCGCGTGCGCAGAGAGGCGATGCGAGCCAGGACGGGCGGCGCCTGCGCGATGGGACGGTGAGGGCTAGACTGGGCGGCCGGGGCACAGAGGGGCGGTGACAGCTAGGAGGGGCAGCGCGTGCGCAGAGGGGCAGTGATAGCTAGGAGGGGCGGTGCCTGCGCCATGGGGCGGTGAGGGCTAGGCGGGGCGGCCGGGGCACAGAGGGGCAGCGCGTGCGCAGAGCGCCGATGTGACTTGAAGATGTGAGCTAAGAGGAGCGGCGCGTGAGCGGAGATGTGACTGGTGGGACCTACGGCGGCTCGCGGAGGATGGTCGCCCTGCTGGGCGCGATGACCCTGGTGCTCGTCGCCGTGGCGCCATGGGTGTTGCCCGTAGCTGCAGGTGAGAGGCGGGGAGGAGAGTTTCGGCGTGGGGCCGGAGACCGGGTGCGCAACTGGGCTGCGGGGGCGGCGATGGTGTTGGGGGCAACAGACGCCCAGTCTGGGAACCCTTTGGTCCTCTTTGCCCCGGTGGTTTGGGGTCCCTAGCCGCAGCGCTCAGATTAAACCCAACCTGGGCTCGAAAATCAAACAGGAGAAAGTAGTGTTGTGAGTCCTCCCTCGCCGCCTGCCTGCGACCGGCGTACTGGTCCTTGGGCGCGCCCGGGTCCCACCCCCAGGAAGTGGCGGTGCCAGAGCTTTGTGTCGAGTGTGCTGCTTTCCGGCAAGGTACTGCAGCTCAAGTGGCATATTTGATAATAAACAAAACATTTCCTGAAACGCATTTCCTCAAGTTAACGGGCGCCCTGTCCCAAGGGAGAGTGAGCTAAGTGTGGCCATGATTTCTCTGCCCTCAGGATTCTTACAGGCCAATAAAAATTGACAGCTGAAGGGAGTGAGTAACTGAGGCATCATTCTCAGTCCTCGAGGTTTACTAAGCCTGCTTCAGGGCGCATGCGGGAGAAACATGAGCTACAGACACATCTGTGACTGGTTTTCCAGAGAGGTTTTCAGGAGTTGGTAAGGCAAATAGTTCTGTAAGACCAGTTAGTGGGCAAGAAATCTGTATTATAAGTAAGATACCATGAGTGTCTTAAAGAGAAAAAGGGAGTAAAGGAAGAGCCAGTTATGCAGATGTCTCTGGGTAGGTGGATTCTTGACTTTGTTTTGGACCGGAGAAGATAAGCTTGTAATTGACATTGTTATTGTGGAAGGACTGAACTGGTTTTTCAGGTTGACTTTGGAATGCCGTTGGTTGAGAGGAGGGGTCCGTTCAGATGGTTGGGGGGCTTAGAATTTTATTTTTGGTTTACATAACTACCTACTTTTTTCCCCAAAGAGATAAGCATGTTCAAAACTCAATGAAATGTTATCTTAATTAGATTGTAATATTGCTCAGTCTTTCAGATGTCATAAAAATATTCATACTTTTTAGTCGAGTAAATGCAGTTCTAGACCAAGACTGAGAAAACTATCCAAAATATGGGAAGACATTTTTATTTATACTTTTTTTTTTTTTTTTGAGACAGAGTCTCACTCTGTTGCCCAGGCTGGTGTGCAGAGACATGATCTCAGCTCACTGCAACCTCCACCTCCTGGGTTCAAGTGATTCTCCTGCCTCAGCCTCTCAAGTAGCTGGAATTACAGGTGCATGCCGCCACATCCAGCTGTTTTTTGTACTTTTAGTAGAGACGGGGTTTCACTATGTTGGCCAGGCTGGTCTCGAACTCCTCACCTCAAATGATCCACCCACCTTGGCTCCCCAAAGTGCTGGGATTACAGGCGTGAGCCACCGCACGTGATCTGTTTATGCTTTAGACTTTAGTTTTAAGAACTAGACTTGAGTTGTAGACCTAAAGTTACAGTTGGCATGCCCTTATTTATGGGAGACCAGCAAAGAATTTACTTATCAATGATCTGTGACGGCAGCCTTTTGCAGATGGGTGAGGCTTTTTATCTGTCCTTGGGGATCTGGCTGTAGGATAATGCTAGTAACAGCCATTCATTTGGAAGGCCAAGTTGCAGTCACTTGGCCTCTGGGCTTAACCTTCCCTTTTGTGTAAGAAGTTTGGGAAAGGTCCTGAGATTTTTTTTTTTTCCTTTACAAAAATAATAAAATAAAAATACAAAGGCAGGGCATCACCAGGCTAAATTGCTGAAATTCTTCATACTTACCTGGAATGCATGAGAGAATAGCAACTATTATAAGGTTGATAGAGCATGAGAGGTAATTTTGTAGTGAAGAGGAGTACCCAAAGAGAAACAGGAAGTCTTTTATGAAAAATTTGCATTAAACTCATGTTTGCTTTAATGTGAAAAGTTTTCCCAGAAAATGTATATAAAATTGACGTTCCAAGAGGGTGTGTATTAAGAAATTAATTTAAAATTAGGTTAGAAGAGAGCTGGCAAAATATAATTTATAGGGATTTAGCATTTCTTAAGCTCTTAGCTGTGTGCCAGGCACTAATCTAAGTGTTTTAAAGGTATAAACTTGTTAAGCTTTCAGAGCCATGCAGATACTGTTATCCTTATTTAACAGACAAGGAAACTGAGCAACTGAGAGATCAGGTAACTTGCCTGAGGCTATATAGGCCAGTCAGGCTGAGTCCGAGTCGGGCCTCATAGCCCTGGGGCTCTTGATTTTGTTATGTGAATATTCTGTCCCTGTAAACAGCTGTCCATCTTTCAAATCACATCTGTTCAGTTCTACTATTAGAGCATGTGAAGTACAGATGGTCCCTCTCTTCTGATAGTTTGACTTCCAATTTTTTGAGTTTATGATGGATTTCTCAGGGTATTACATACATTTTTGGTTGGTATTTTTAACTTACAGCTTTAGCACGACATAACACCATTGTAAGTCAAGAAGCATCTGTCTATCTCTGGACATACAATGTGAAATCAAACTGAGGCCATAAAACAGTTGAACCTCATCATAAGAGTGACTCATCAGTGTCACTTCTAAGACCAAGAAAAATTCTATTTTTATGCAGAGACCATTTGTTTTTTAATTAAAAGGTAACTGTTTTTTTTCAAAGAGGAAAAAAATCAACCTTTTTTTCAGCTCTCTCAGATGCAGAAATATAATCAGCGGCATCCCTGTGCTGGGAGTAATCATTAGGATTTTTTAGATTTTTTTTTTTTTTTGAGACGGAGTTTCACTCTTGTTACCCAGGCTGGAGTGCAATGGCGCGATCTCGGCTCACCGCAACCTCCGCCTCCTGGGTTACAAGAGTGAAACTCCGTCTCAAAAAAAAAAAAAAA